AGTTTAAAGAGCAAGTCACCCCAAATCAGCATTTTTTTGCTGATAAACTATATAAATGAGTGTCTGATTGTGCTGCAGACAAATGTAGTCAATAATTCGGCACTTAAGTGCATCTTAGGTAAAATTTAAATGTTCGGCCTAAAACTGTCAGCGATGCACCGTCGTCAGGCAAAAACTCAGCACTGCATTTGAATTTAAATCTGTCATCGCTATTGGCTAAGAGGTACACTATGATGTTAGCTGGTACATTATGATGTCACAATGTCGTGAGTGTGTGTATTTGTTAGTGGCTCCACCCTCTCGGTCTGCTAGGCAACAGCCTTTGTTGCATTTTTCAAACAGGAAGTGGGAGTTGAGTAAGAATCTGGTAGGGGGTGACTTGCTCTTTAAGTCCGAGTCAAGTCGTAAGTCTTTATAGATTTTATCAAGTAAAGTCAGAAGTCATTAAAATAATGACTCAAGTCATGTGTCTCGAGTCCACACCTCTGGGGAATGGACACACCATACCTGACAGGTGTGACAGCAGTCAGCCAGCATGGTTACCTGGCCTGGTGAGCCTTTTAAAGGAAGCCACTAGGGCTCTGATTGGCTGACTCCCAAGGGGAAAGTGGCAGCAGCTGGAGCAGTGACTCCACTCCACTCTGCCACACTCTGAAGGAACAGTTAAGCATTCTATCAACCTGTAAAGATGTTTAATGAAACTTATTATCCCTTTTTATTGGCAGTATTTTGAGCAATATATATTTTGTTTGTAACCATATGTGAAGGTAACCCTGAGCATAGTCTCGGACCCACGGCGGGGTTCGGGTAAGCGGGGGATCATCGTCAGGTGGCATGGATCGGTTTGGGTCCGCAGTTTCAATAGAGCGTTTCTATTGTAGTTTAAGCTGAATGAATAGAGCTCTGGGAGTTGACGTCACTTCTCCCGGCATGCAACAGTTCAAATCGAAATGGCGCCATATTGGCATGCAGAAGCCCGCAGCTGGACTATTTGTTATTGTCAGAAAACTCCATCAAACGGGAAATATGGTAGATTCCTGTTGTGCCCCAGGATGCAGAACAGACGCGGATGACATAAGGAATGAGCCATCTACAGGATTCCCCAAGATCCGGAGCGCCGCAAACGTTGGATCATTGTTATAAAACACGTTAATGACCGGGCTAAAATGAAACTGTGGGATCCCGAGAGTAAAGGTTTTCACTTATGCAGCGACCACTTCATATCAGGTACTTAAAACGTTTCCTCAACTGTGTATTCAATTCAATTCAAAAATACTTTATTAATCCCAGAGGGAAATTGATTGCATATGGCATTTATTTTAAATGCTTTTACTACGATTCTTGGTGGGCTTCCTAAACTTATTTTGGCGTGGCTTTTTCTGTCTTATTACACACCTCAAACCTCAAGTAAACATCACGTAAAACGTTGCCTCGTGAGTTCTGCATGCTACCATTTACGTGTTTTATGATCACAGCAATTAACCGGCTAAGCTGTATTTAATTTTTAAGCAATGGTTGATCAATTGTCAGATCACACATAAAAAGCACTTTGGATTGCTATTATCTGTCTCACCGAGACGGATCTCAGACAGATCCTGAGATGCTCCTGCATGGATGTAATTTGGCGGGGGGGGGGGGGGGGGGGGGGGGGGGGACAGGGGGGACATGACCCCTCCACTTTTTCCAAAATCAAGTTTTGACCCCTGCACTTTTTACCATCCAAAAACAATATTACGCTATATTAAATTGACAGTGGTTGAGCTCTAGGAACAAGCGGAAAACAACTATTTGTGTTGAAGCCTGTTTCCCATTAGAACATACTGTAAAGATACCCCCCCCCCGTGTCCCCCCCACTTCTAAAGTGAAAATTACGTCCATGTGCTCCTGCCTGACATATTTATTTTATTCACGGAAAAAAATCAGACTAGTGATTTCTCTTGGCGTTCAGTTTATACATTCAAACAGCACAGCACTCTATTAAACTACTTACATGTAAATCTGTTATTTGTCCATCCATTTTCATCCGCTTATCCGGAGTCGGGTTACGGGGGCAGTAGCGTCGAGAGGCCCACACTTCCCTCTCCCCAGCCACTTGGGCCAGCTCCCCGGGGGAAATCCCAAGGGGTTCCCCGGCCAGGTCCGGTAAGAAGTCCGCTCCGACAGCTTCTGGCGTTTTTAAAAAGTATCCCAGGGGCACGGTAAGGGTCGGAGATGTTTAGTCTATTTAATTTCTGACTATATAAAACGATTTCTTCGGTTTTAAAGTGTGAAGTAAACTCAGACGAAGTAAAATCCAAGCCGATCCCGTTCACGTTCATGTTTACATCCGTGTTTGTTTACCTTTTTTGACTGCCAATATGGCGTCTACTAACTGAGAGTCACATGGGGTCCGGAGCTCTATGGAGCTCTGAAGCTGACCAAACCTTGCTGCTACCGTTGGCATTTTTCAATATCTGTGGACAACTAACAAAAATACAAACAATGGACCTCCGAGCTTTGTTTTGCTTGTCACTTGTCATTTTGAGTGAGTGCTACATCACTCAAGAAGTGATGTATTCCTGTCCCCCAGTCAACTGACAGTGTTGTCGCTCAGCTCTAACTGTAAAGCTTCACAACGATTTGAACTTACAACAGAAGTGGTCACAAAAGTGATCCGGGTCGGCTGTCGGTTTTACAATCAGGAACCCTGCAGTGGAACTGAATTGGTAAGAGATTCAGATGCTAACTAGAAGCAACATGCTAGTTGTAGTCTGTTTCAGTGCACTACAGCGTTTACCACTTTAGTGAACTGGTTTAAACAGAATCGGGTGGGAAGTGTCTAATTTAACGATATAAAACAACAAACATGTCTATTAAATTCAATCTGAGAAAGAGGTTTTCAAACATAATAACAATGGCTTAGCTTTACATTTAACAAGTCCTTCTACATTAGTATTCTTTGTTTCACAGACAACAACACCGCAGTCCGGGAAAAAATAAAAATCACATATAGTCACTCCTAAACCTTATGAAAAGCCTTCACAGAAGACTCTAATTGCTGCTAAAGGTGGGCCAACTCATTATTAAAACATAAAGATTAGGAATGGAAAGCTTATGTGCATGTCCTCGGAAGTCCTTGGGATACCCGCAGATGGATGGATGGTTGGGAAGAAAGGAAATCTGCAACAGAAGATCAGAGTTTATTGAAATGAACTAAACAAGAACTACTCGCACAACCCAAGTGAGTCTAAATGTTTGTGAATTAAATAATAAAAGGACTATGCTGTGGTACTAACATCTCAACAGGCTGCTAAAATAAGGCGAAGAAAGAAACTTGTGACCTACAGCACTGGTTGAGGTTTGCACGAGACAAGAAGACAAGTCACAAAAGTACCAAAGATGAATGCAGAAAGCTCCAGAGCTATTTTGTGTGTGAAAGGTGTTGAAGAGCTCAGGTTGGTGAGAACATTTAGATTTGAAGCAGACAACCCCAAACACATAACCACCTGAACAGAAGTGGCTTCCCTTCCTGTTATAGTGGTTCCTTCTTCAACCACTGAAGAACTTCCTTGCACAAACAAAAAGCCCGAAACCCAAACAAGCAGAAGCCCCTGCACACCTTTCAGGCAAATGGGCAAAAATAAATGAATAAATAAGAGATCCGTCTGCTCATGTGCAACATCAGAACATTAAATTAAACTATTGCCTTGCTGCCCCTGGTCTTCCAAACCTGTAGGTATTCACTCCATATGCAAAAGGTCTGTGTGGTGATAGATGAATGGGGACAGATGCTACAGCAGTGGCTCAATATGGCAGCTAGATGAAATGTACTGAAGTGCTCATAGATGATAAAGACAATCCTTACTGGTCAGCCAGATCCTCTTGGAACAGTGATCAGTTTGATGAAGGTTCATTCAATAATGTTCATCTACTCCATTCCACCCCCATCAGCCTTTGGCTAAAGTACCCCAGAAACGGCGTTCTGGCTGGAGATTCAGAGGAAATTTTTTCCTGAGTCTCCCAGTAAGTCAGGTTGAGACTTACTGTAAGATGACTTCATGAATTCAGATTTTATTTATTTATCAAGATGTCATTTAATCAAATTTTGTTTTCTTTGCATTAAGAAAATCTCTTATTTCACACCAGAAATGGAATTCAGATTGAAGAATAAATAAAATGAGCAAAGACAACAATTCGCCATCTAAATGAGCTGTGAGATGATTTCATGTGCAATTTTATTTTGAACCTCAACAAAATTTTAAAGTGTGTCCTCTATTCCACGTCTAAGTCTTGAATTGTAAGAAAAAGTTACTCTGTTCAAAAATATTGTTTCTCCTGACTTCATGCGTGGCAAAGAAGCGCGTGTGACATTTTCTTTGCCACTACGCCCTTCTAATTACCAGTGTTACATCAGTTTAGGTCCCCCCATCAATACATGGTTCCCCAGCTGCTCTGTACAGCTCAGGCAACAAAAACTCATCACAAGCTCGTTCTGAGTGCTCTGCTCTTTCCACAGAGGAACTGCCTTCCCTGCAAAAACTCTGACATCATGTTTCGATGGTTCCTTCAGCCTCATATGAAGTGAATAAATGTTGTCAGGATTTTGTTTGGTTTGGTCCACTTGACTAGCCTGGCCTGCCAGACTCGTCCTCTGTTGCAGAATTAAACAGAGGACGAGTCTGGCAGGCCAGGCTACCACTTGACCATTTTTTTTACATAATCAATAATTCACCAGTTTTAGGTAAAATTAATACTTGTTTAGCAATGAACTCCCCAGTCATCTTTCCATTGTAAAAAAAAATGCCTTCAAACCAATTGTGTTTTGGACATTATGCTGGTGAAGGTTCTTAGTCATCCTTTCAATGCAGTTAAAAGCTTGCTAGTCATTCCCAGAGTTGATAAGATGATGCATTTAATTTAGAGTCAATCTTGTTTCATGGTGCACCTCGAAAATATATAAAGGAGGAAAAAAAATGGAGAACTTTCACTGAATACTGCATGAATCTGCAACTACGCCCTCTAGTGGACTTTTAGAATATATGCAATGGATATCGCATAGATATTCAATGAATATCACACACACACACACACACACACACACACACACACACACACACACGCACGCACGCGCACACGCACGCACGCACGCACACACACAAACACACACACACACACACAGAGTATAATTAGGAACAACAGAAGTAACCACTTCAAATATTCCAGCTCTGCTGCTTTCTCCTCTCCGTCTGAGTCTGCAGTCCAACAATGACCCCTTCATGAGCAGCCGTTATTCAGACTCATCCCTTCTTCTAAAAACAGGTCATCTCAGTCCTTCAACTTGACAGTCTCCTGCTGCTCCGGCTTATCCACACCCCATTCCTTTCTCCTTTTCCTACTCCTGGAAGAAAAGACACAGACGGGGGATTTGCCGCACGGTAGGTAGCTGTTTCATGTGAAAAGGGGGGTTCTCTGGGTTCTTTTTGTTTTATATGGTGATACTTGGCAAAGAGATCCAGGAGTCCACTTGAAGGTCTTAGAACGGGATGATTTGTTTGGAGAAACCCTCTCCAGCCCAAAGCAGGATTAGCTGGACTCAGGTTCCCATGCAACCGGAGAGGCTTTTCCACTCATAAACACGCAACATGAACAACATACATGTATGTTATTCTCTTCAACGAGCTTTTTCTAACCACCATCTCTAACCAAACAGAACAAAGAAGGACAAAGAGCAAATGGAGAAGCTTGGAGAGGAAGATAATTAAAATAAGTAGAAAACGACAAGAATAAGAAGTCTCCTTTGGTGTGGAAAAATGCTGGTTAGGAGTGAGTTTATATTATTATTATTATCATTTGCGTTTTATTTGCGGACAAACTTAAAAATTGGAGGAAATCTTAAGTTTTCTGCATGAAGGTCTTTAGAAATGCTATTAAACTATACTTTACTCAAAATAATTCACTTTATATTTTTAATTTGACCTATTCAATTGTTAATTTAAACCTTTTGGGGGCTGTTGTTCAGTAAAAGCATCAGAATTCATGCACATGGATTTGTTCATCCCTGCAAACAACTGATAGGCCTTTTTGTAGACAAATCAAATTCATGATGAGGTCGACCAGAAACAATTAAATAATTATTTTCTAGTAAACGAAATTATTATAATAAATGTATCTTTTTAAATGTTGAAGTGAATATAACACAGGATGAGTCTAGCTCACAGTTTCCTAACAACCCCAAAATTAGAAATGCTGCCATCTGCTGGTCAAACCAAACATTTCTGTCCAGAATTCAAATCTGTCCAACTTTATTAAAAAACAAAACAAACAAACAATAAAAAATAGACATTTCATACCGTATTTTTTCATGGAAGTTGAATATTTTCTATAATTTTAGCTCCTAAATCATTTATTTTGCACAAATATTTTCATCTTTTGTGTAACCATATCATGTTAACACAATAATGCAAAGTAAGACTTGTGTCATGGGTCCAGTACATCATAGAGCACAAGGGGGCAGTTTGGGTTTAATTTACAAACAACCATCTGCAGGACTCGGGTCATCTTCACAGTACTGAAGGATGTCCAACAAATGCGCAGAGCACGTGTGAGGAACTAGGAGGTGCACTTGCTGCTGAAAGCCCTGGATCTGGATGGGGCGGGGTATTGTGTCAAAAAGTTTGATAAAGTTGAATTGCTGTCATCTGAGCATGAGCGCAGCCTGCCAGCTGTCTTAATCCCTCCTGCTGGTGTGTGCTGTCCATCACTGAGACCATTTCTGAGACCTGCATAAAGTTAAAACTTTTATCTTGAAAATGTCTGTAAATGTCCCTCACAGGGTCCTGTAGTTTTCAGTAAAAGCATGCAAAAGTATGAAAAAGGCCTGCTGATGCAATAAACTTCTGATTTTCTTCTTTGAAGCATTGACGCATTGTAAGTTGACTATTATACGTCTTTGTCTTTACAAGCAAGGATTTCAGTGACAAACCCTCATGTTCTGATCTGCAGAGCATGTGGCAACGTGACAACTTACTTTATTATGGTTTGCATGTCCTGTCCTGAGGGACCCCCATGATGAAACCACAGCTGCCACGGACACCACACCTCCTCATCTAATCAAGCATTTGCTCTGGTTGTCCACAGCAACCTGGGAAACTTTTGGGCCCTTTTATCTCCCAGCACTATCCCAGCAGGATGGAACAACTGGTAGCTTTACTGTCAACGCCTCCCTGAGAATGCCAGGGACAGCTCCTCCTTGCCTCTTTGAGATTAGCGTGCCAGCAGTTCTCTTCCCCAAAATCTCTGACAGCATTATCACTCGCTAAGTCAAGGGCAGGCGCCAGAGCCAGCTGTCAAGTGGAGAGAATTCCTGGTGCTGCACTCAAGGTCGCTCCCACCATTCAGAGCCGCGGTGCTCCGTCACGACTCCCACAGTAGGTGTTAACGCGGTAATGCTAAGAGTTTAGCTTGGATGCCCCGGCATGTTTGAAAGAGAGTTAACTGCAGCTTCACACGCTCATAGCGTAG